AGACACTTTACACCCCTCCCCAAAAAACATTTCCACTGCATTTCAGCCCTGCCACAAAAGGACCAGCTGCCATCATGTTAGTGATTCTCTCGTTAACACAGGTCAGAGTGTTGACGGGGACAAGGCTGGAGATCACTCTGTCATGCTGATTGAGTTAGAATAACAGACTGGAAGCTTTAAAAGGAGGGTGGTGCTTGAAATCATTGTTCTTCCTCTGTTAACCATGGTTACCTGCAAGGAAACACATGCCGTCATCATTGCTTTGCACAAAAAGGGCTTCACAGGCAAGGATATTGCTGCTATTAAAATTGCACCCTAAATCAACAGTTTTTCGGATCATCAAAACTTCAAGGAGAGAGGTTTAATTGTCGTGAAGAAGGCGTCAGGGCACCCAAGAAAGTCCAGCAAGCGCCAGGACCGTCATCTAAAATTGATTCAGCTGTGGGATCGGGGCACCACCCGTGCAGAGCTTGCTCAGGAATGGGAGCAGGCAGGTGTGAGTGCATCTGCACGCACAGTGAGGCGAACACTTTTGGAGGATGGCCTGGTGTCAAGAAGGGCAGCAAAGAAGCGACTTCTCTCCAGGAAAAACATCAGGGACAGACTGATATTCTGCAAAAGGTACCGGGATTGGACTGCTGAGGACTGGGGTAAAGTCATTTTCTCTGATGAATCCCCTTTCCGATTGTTTGGGGCATCCGGAAAACACCTTGTCCGGAGAAGACAAGGTGAGCGCTACCATCAGTCCTCTATCATGCCAACAGTAAAGCATCCTGAGACCATTCATGTGAGGGGTTGCTTCTCAGCCAAGGGAGTGGGCTCACTCACATTTTTGCCTAAGAACACAGCCATGAATAAAGAATGGTACCAACACCTCCTCTGAGAGCAACTTCTCCCAACCATCCAAGAAGAGTTTGGTGACGACCAATGCCTTTTCCAGCATGATGGAGCACCTTGCCATGAGGCAAAAGGTGATAACTAAGTGGCTGGGGGAACAAAACATCGACATTTTGGGTCCATGGCCAGTAAACTCCCCAGACCTTAATCCCATTGAGAATTTGTGGTCAATCCTCAAGAGGCGGGTGGACAAACAAAAACTCACAAATTCTGACAAACTCCAAGCATTGATTATGCAAGAATGGGCTCCCATCAGTAAGGATGTGGCCCAGAAGTTAATTGACAGCATGTCAGGGCGGATTGCAGAGGTCTTGAAAAAGAAAGGTCAACACAGCAAATATTGACTCTTTGCATAAACTTAATGTAATTGTCAATAAAAGCCTTTGACACTTATGGAATGCTTGTAATTATACTTCAGTATACCATAGTAAGATCTGACAAAAATATCTAAAAACACTGAAGCAGCAAACTTTGTGAAGACCAATACTTGTGTCATTCTCAAAACTTTTGACCACGACTGTACTGCAATCTTTTTTCATAAGGCTTTTTCCACATATTTAAAAACCGTTTGAGGTTAATGGCTGTGATAGGAACAAACTGAGGATGGCTCAACAACATTGTAGTTACGCCACAACACTAACCTAAAAGACAGAGTGAAAGGAAATAAGTCTGTACAGAATAAATAAAAAATTAAATAAAAACATCCTGTTTGCAATAAGGCACTAAAGTAATACTGCAAAGAAAATGTGGCAAAGAAATTCATGTTTTGTCCTGAATACAAAGCATTATCACCGAGTACCACTCTTCAAATTTTCAAGCATGGTGGTGGCTGCATCATGTTATGGATATGCTAGTCATCGGAATAGACAGTGGGAGAGAAATTCACCTTTCAGCAGGACAATAACCTAAAACTCAAGGCCAAATATACACTGGAGTTGCTTACCAAGACGACATTGAATGTTCCTGAGTGGCCTAGTTCCAGTTCGGACTTAAAATCGCCTTGAACATCTATGGCAAGACTTTTAAATGGCTGTCTAGCAGTGATCAGCAACCAACCCGACAGAGCTTGAAGAGTTATCCAGGTGTGCAAAGCTCTTAGAGACTTACGCACTTCTCAGTAGTTAGTATTCAGACTTACCTTATGAAGGTGCGTAATGGGCTTTGCAGACATGGTTCCCTTGCGTGCACTAAATACATGTAATTCAACCACTGAAAACCCTCCCACTTGTTGGCCAACAGATTTTCTCGTGGAGTTTTCATTCAATTGGGTTTTCAGTACATTTATCTTAAGCCATCCCTTTAAATACGGTGTACATTTAATTCGAATTTTGACGACAGACTAGAATACATTGAGAGAACGGGTTCAGAAATAGCTATCAATGAAAGAAAGCCATCTAAATAAATCTAAATATACAGTGCATTCGGAAAGTATTCAGACCCCTTGACTTTTCCACGTTGTTATATTACAGCCTTAATCTAAAATGGATTAAAACAAATATTTTCCTTATCACAATACACCATAATGACAACGCAAAAACAGGTTTTTAGACATTTTTGCTATTTTTAACATTTACATAAGTATTCAGACCCTTTACTTAGTACTTTGTTGAAGCGATTACAGCCTTGAGTCTTCTTGGGTATGACGCGACAAGCTTGGCACACCTGTATTTGGGGAGTTTCTCCCATTCTTCTCTGCAGATCCTCTCAAGCTCTGTCAGGTTGGATGGGGAGAGTCGCTGCACACTCCTGTGTTGTCTTGGCTGTGTGCTTAGGGTCATTGTCCTGTTGGAAGGTGAACCTTCGCCTCAGTCTGAGGTCCTGAGTGCTTTGGAGCATGTTTTTATCAAGGATCTCTCTGTACTTCGCTCCGTTTATCTTTCTCTCAATCCTGACTAGTCTCCCAGTCCCTGCCGCTGAAAAACATCCCCACAGCATGAGGCTGCCACCACCATGATTCACCGTAGGGATGGTGCCAGGTTTCCTCCAGACGTGACGCTTGGCCTTCAGGCCAAAGAAATCAATCTTGGTTTCATCAGACCAGAGAATCTTGTTTCTCATGGTCTGAAAGTCCTTTAGGTGCCTTCTGGCAAACTCCAAGCAGGCTGTCATGTGCCTTTTATTGAGGAGTGGCTTCCGTCTGGCCACTCTACTATAAAGGCCTGATTGGTGGTTGTCCTTCTGGATGGTTGTCCTTCTGGAAGGTTCTCCCATCTTCACAGAGGAACTCCGGAGCTCTGTCAGAGTGACCATCGGGTTCTTGGTCACCTCGCTGACCAAGGCCCTTCTCCCCCGATTGCTCAGTTCTGCCAGGCGGCCAGCTCTAGGAAGAGTCTTGGTGGTTCCAAACTTCTTCCATTTAAGAATGATGGAGGCCACTGTAGTTCTTGGGGACTTTTAATGCTGCAGAAATTGTTTGGTACCCTTCCCCAGATCTGTGCCTCGACACAATCCTGTCTCGGAGCTCTACGGACAATTCCTTCGACCTAATGGCTTGGTTTTTGCTCTGACATGCACTGTCAACTGTGGGACCTTATATAGACAGGTGTGTGCCTTTCCAAATCATGTCCAATCAATTGAATTTACCACAGGTGGACTCCAATCAAGTTGTAGAAACATCTCAAGGATGATCAATGGAAACAGGATGCACCTGAGCTCAATTTTGAGTCTCATAGCAAAGGGTCTGAATACTTACATAAATAAGGTATCTGTTTTTTATTTGTAATATATTTGCAAACATTTCTAAAAACCTGTTTTCGCTTTGTCATTATGGGGTATTTTGTGTGGATTGATGAGGATAAAAAATAATTTAATCAGTTTTAGAATAAGGCTGTAACGTAACAAAATGTTGAAAAAGTCAAGGGTCTGAATACTTTCCGAATGCAATGTATGCATATCCGTTTCAACAACTGGTAGATTTAAAAACACTGATCCTGTAGATTATTTTGGCAAATTTTAGGAAAGTATTAATTATTTTAAAAAAATAAACGGGTTTGGCGAGCCTTCACGCACAAAATATATAAATGAATAAAAACATACTGTGGTTTACATTTACATTTTACATTTTTTATCCAGAGCGACTTACAGTTAGTGAGTGCATACATTATTTTTTGTATTATTATTTTTTTTCCATACTGGCCCCCCGTGGGAATCAAACCCACAACCCTGGCGTTGCAAACGCCATGCTCTACCAACTGAGCTACATCCCTGCCGGCCATTTCCTCCCCTACCCTGGACGACGCTGGGCCAATTGTGCGCCGCCTCATGGGTCTCCTGGTCGCGGCCGGCTACGACAGAGCCTGGATTCGAACCAGGATATCTAGTGGCACAGCTAGCACTGCGATGCACAGCTAGCACTGCGATGCAGTGCCTTAGACCACTGCGCCACTGAGCACATTCAGTTTTTTAACCCATGGTAATGTTTGAATATTAGTGTACATAGAATTATAATAGGGAGAATAGTGTACAATAGTAGGCTATACCCTCTATTGCCTGCACTAACCATGGAACTGTGTGATGACACAGCCAATTATTGCACCATGCGGCAGGTTCAAACTGTTATGTTTTGGTCTACACTCGGCTCCATAACGATTCAATTAGCCTATGTGTCTTTTTTTAAATGATCAACTGTTACTAATGATCCTCAGCAACAACCACATGTTCATTTATGCGCGATTACCTCGGGTCGGAATCGGGGCCTATATGCTTAAGCCAACTTCTCTGACAGTTGTTGTCTGAATGGCATGACAATGATTGTCAGATGACTAATTGTTAGGTCTAATATTGGCAAAAATTTTTAGTTACATTAAACATTACGTTTTGGGCAACACTTCCAAGCATATCAAAGTGATGGTAATGATTGATGAACTACAGAACACAGGTATTTTATGAGGACCAACTGACTTATGACTTGCGCTACTGAAGCATAGCTGCCCAAAACAGTGACAAACAATTTTCTGGAATATTCCGGGTTGCAGGAGAGGCTTGTATGACGGCATTGGATGCATGATAAGTATGCGCTGTATACAAATGAGGCCATTGTGTGGGTCAATCATGGGTCGGCCACACAGGTCACCATTGTGTGCCCATGAAGGATCCGGTGTGTGTGTGTGTGTGGTACTCACATCGAAGCCTGTGTTTGGGTCCCAGCCCACATGGCCGATGTGCCTGAAGAGAGAGACACATGACAGACAGGGATGAGCACATACATACACGTGTACTCACAAGCAAGCCGATTGACAAACGTGTGTAGGTGTGCATTTCACATGCAGCAACAAACACGTGCAAGCACAGACACTCATGTAAGACCACTCACTTATGCGCACACACACACACACACACACACACAGGCACATTTATGAATGCAGACAAACACAACTGAGCCACTGAAGAGGTTCTCAAGACACAAAGAACACCCTCAAACATGAGTGACAAGCTCAATCCGTTACACAACTTCAGAGAACAAACATTCAGAAAAACTCCAGCTGCGCTACATTTATCTACACAGACCCGTCTGAAGTGTACTCTAGACGGAAGTGTGGTCCACTCACTGGAAGTTGCTGGGGGTGCCTATGTCTGCCTTGGTGAGCTTCTTCCTCTTGCCCTTGACTTTCTTCTCCTTCTTGCTGAGGCTGCTGTGCAGCATGTTGTTGAGGTGGTGTGGCTGTGGAAGCTGCTGCTGCTGGGAGTTGTGGAAGCGCACATTGTTAATCTCTGGGTTCTTGATGTCCACTGTGGCCATAGGGAGAGCCGGGCCTATAGTAGGAGGGAGAGATGGAGGAAGAAAATGAGAAACTGTTAGAACTAGAAGCTCAGAACCAGTGCTGGGAAGCTCAGAAGCAGTGTTTCTCTCATGAAATGAGGTGGAGCCAATCCAAAAGGTTGTCCTTTGATTTCTTAGCATACTTCACAAGTTGTATTACACCAAGGCCAGATAGATCATACACAACCCTTTTAAATTATTAATAAAAAGTAACATTTACTTTGCATACTTGACTGGTAGTAAACTTACTTTGCATAACTTGGCCTGTGTTGGCCTGTGTTGTGACTATGGTAGTCTTTGAACCCATCAATATCGCAATCTTAAAATGTAAATATCAATATCTCTCTCTCTCTATCTATCTATATATTTATTTTTACATTGAAACAAGGGAAAACGTTCAGGACTGAGCAAGACAGCTGACAATGCAGGACCACACACAATAAAACACTAGTCTTTCGATGTATTTAGCACTATTTCAAAATAGTGTACAGACAAGAAACAATAGAGGGCACTAATTGTCTATACACATGCCAGTGCCTTTGTGAATATCTAGAACCCGAACACCAGCATAGGCGCCAAACAACAACAAAGTCAGTATAAATTCCATTTAAATTATAATTCAAAGATTTTACATTTATCCAAAGAAATTACATAATTATGTAAATCATGTGCATTCATTTCTTAATTCACTAGAATTTAAATGGGATCATGGACATGAACTCTGCCTGACGACAACCCTACCGTTAAACACCTCTCTCAGCCAGCTCTTAATCCTCGGTTCCTCTAGCACCACACACCCCTCATTTTCCTCTTCATCATCCTCTTCCTCAAAAGGACAAGGGCGGGATGGACATGAACTCTGCCTGACGACAACTCTACCATTAAATACCTCTCTCAGCCAGCTCTTAATCCTCGGTTCCTCTAGCACCACACACCCCTTCTTTTCCTCTTCCTCTTCATATTCCTTCTCTTTCTCTTCCTCAAAAGAACAGGGGCAGAACAATGGCATATAAAACCCATCCACTAGCAGCACTGGACACCCAAGCAGACCCAACCAGTCTTCCAACTTCAACTCACTGTCCAATGACTCTGTTAAAGACAGGCTTGATAAAGAAGTTGTGCAATTCATCCTTGTTCCATCCATATGATACAGTGTTGGGTAGACCAACTGACTAGCGAGGCTCTCAGACTGCCTGTGGCTACGCCAAGGAATAGCACAGCAGTCTTTTACAGACAACTAAAGAAACGGTGACAGAATCAATCTGGTTCAAAGCCAGTGCCTGTCCTCCCATTGTGTGTGTATGCGTGTGTGTTTGTTTCTTATGTGACATCAGTTGAGTCAAACCCAGTCATACAAAAAACAGAGCTATGGCCAACTTCAGAGCTGGGAGCCATGTTGCTCCTTGGACAATTCATCTTGACCATCTAGTGCTTGGTTTAAAATTCTGCCAATTCTTTGGACTGTTAATGGTAAAAAATGACCCAGGAGGCACCAACATGGCTGCTATCAAATTAACGCAATGTTGTCTAGGAACATTATAATAATGACTTCTGATTGAAACTGCAATGGCCAACTAAAACAGAGCTACAGTAGTTCTGTGAACTATTCTTGCATGAGGAATAACCTTGCATGAGACCTAGGTTAGGCTTCAGTTCAGCAGGCTAACAGTCTTATGGCATGCAGATGATTCGGGTCCAACCCCAGTTAGTCACACAAACTCTCATGGTGTGGTCAAACCTTCCCTCTGTCCAGGCATTTGATCACGCTCCTCGAGTCCATGTTAATCTCCACAAAATGCAGATGGATCAGACATAAATCAGTAATCTACAGCTAATCCCAACCAAATCCCTGGATTTCCTACAAATGTTAGAAGTCTCAGCTATCAACGAGGACTTTGAAAGCTCCTTCGCTTGAGACATGTTTACCCTCATCATTCCACTTCATTGGGAGCTTTCAATGGAGAACTTCCAACGAATCTGTGTAGTGGTACCATACAGATGGTTGTCTTTGGCTGTATGAAAGTCAATGATTGACAGATAATGTCAATGGTTATCCTGTCCATATTAGGGTTCAGAAACCTCATAAATGTAATGATTAAATATCACAAATATTAAAGTGCTTCCTTCCCCAAAGCACACTCTGTCAGCATAACAGTGAATTATGACAAGGAAAACAAAAGGAACATATTGAGGGAGGGAGGGAAGCAAAAAAGGAAATAACTCCTAAAGAAAAGACCTCAAGACTTCTCCATCATGGTTGACAACTCCCCGGTGTCCCCCTCCCTGAGTGCAAAGAACCATGGAGTGACCCTGGACAACACCCTGTCATGTCTGAAAACATAAAAGTGGTGACCTGCTCCTGCAGGTTCATGCTCTAGAACATCTTTAGAGTATGACCCTTCCTCACACAGAAAGCGGCACAGGTCCTAATCCAGGCACTTGTCATCTCCCGTCTAGACTACTGCAACACTCTGTTGGCTGGCCTCCCTGCTTGTGCCATGATACCCCTGCAACTTATCCAGAACGCCGCAGCCCGCCTTGTGTTCAACCTTCCCAAGTTCTCCCATGTCACCCCGCTCCTCCGCACAATCCACTGGCTTCCAGTCGAAGCTCGGATCCACTACAAAACCACTGTGTTGCCTACGGAGCAGTAAGGGGAACTGCCCCTCCCTACCATCAGGCTATGCTCAAACCCTACAACCCAACCCGAGCACTCCGTTCTGCCACCTTTGGTCTCTTGGCCCTCCCACCCCTACGGGGGTTCAGCTCTCGCTCAGCCCAGTCAAAGCTCTTCTCTGTTCTGGCACCCCAATGGTGGAACCAGCTTCCCCCTGACACTAGGACAGCAGTCCCTGCCCATCTTCCAAAAACATCTGAAACCCTACCTCTTCAAAGAGTATCTTAAATGAATCCCAGAGCGATTTTAGCCCATAGTACATTACATTCAAGGTATGCTGTATACAAGTCTGTGAGAAGGCTGATTTAAAGAGAGAGTGTTGGCAGTTGGACACGTACTGAGTGACCCATGTGGTTTACACATGGCACACAGGGGGCCTCATGCTGCACAGATGAACCCTAAGGCACAATGTTGGGGCTAAACATTAGTGTCAACTCAGAGTGAGTGAGTGTGTACTCATAAGCATTAGATTTAGCCTATTTCTTTACAGGAAATGACCAGTCGTATCATGCCATATTGCAGAGGGGTGTATGTGTGTGTTTGTGTGTGTAGACATGCATGTACACCAATACATTTGATTTTGCTTGACTGATTATAGGAGACCTATGCTTTTAAATCGTAAAATAGCCAAGGATTATATTTCACTGAAACATGTTGAAGGTCAAATTTGGACTATACAAATTGGTACAAATCAAAGAATGGACAACATACCATTTGCAGGGTCACATCTTTTTTCTGCAAAACAAAATGGGAACAATTATAATTTCGCAGCCAATTCAAGTTGGCTTAGCCACAGCTATCAGAGCGACAGAGAGTGTATATGGAAGTGTGAAAGGACAAGCAAAGTGTCTGGAAAGCGTTCAGAGTTAGTTTATGAGAGTCAGATGGACAGACGGAAATAGGATGGAAGTGTATGGAAAGGTAGCCACCGGCAGGTTGTTGAGAATACCAGTTCCATTCAGATCCTGCCCGCCAAATGCTTTTTCAGAAAATATGCAAAAACAAGACAAATACTACTGGAAGAACAGTACAGAATGAAAGCTAGCTGTCCCTACCATACCATTACAGTACCCACTTTCCCTGCCCCACGTATTTGAAAGCTCACTCCTCACAGCAAGAGCAGCAAACTTCAAAGGCCGGCATGCAGAGAGAAACAGAGAAGGATTGAGAGAAGCCAGAGAGGAACACCACTGCAGATATATCACCGAGTTTCCAACAGAAACCAGCAGGAAAATTTGACACAGGGCTCAAATCCAAACCAATTCCTAGACCCTTGTTGACCCAAAATGAACCCCCTCGCCGATCTGAGTTACAAGATAGGTCTCAGGTAATATGAGGGATCGGTTTGAGATTGGGCCCTGTGGTCTTGTTAGTAGTAGCACAGGAAGATAAATTGGAGCTTCCTCCCCTTCCTCTGTCCAGAGGGTGAAAGGTTCAGGTACTGAGAAAGCAGAGGTAGTGTAGACTGAGCATGCGGAGCCACTGTAGTTACCCGTTTTACGTTGGCGTCTGCCGAGTAGGTCGTTAAGTGCGGCTCTAAATCGCTTGGCCTCTTCCTCACTAGCAAAGTTCAGGCCTACCTGGCAGTTCTGGTGATAAAGAGAGGAAAGAAAGATCAGTATTTTAATTTAAGACACTGTCTACGTGGGGTCCAAAAGCTTTCAAGTGGCGAGATATCATACTTACATCTCCTGCGAACGAAATGAAATACGACCTAGAGCTGTTGATTGAGAAGTTATTGTAGAGCTCCTGTTCAAACATGGTTTTCCCTTCCTGAAAAGAGAGAGAAATAACATTCATTACTGAACTGCCTTTTAGCAGCAGAGGGAATTCCTCAGGAAAGGGACTCAGTGTTAGGCTAGTGAGGCTAGGCTAGCTTCAACCATCCTCCCTCTACTTCACTCACCTTGATGTCAAAGACCCTGATGAAGTAGGACCTCAGAGGGTTATCCTTAATCAGACAGGCCACTCCGCAGCACCTCTTCACCCAGGATGAGCTTCTGTCTGCCCCATACACCTGGACCACCGCTGAGCACAGGGTCTGAGGACGAATTCACAGTGGGAGTGTGTGAGCGTTACAGCAAAGTAAAAACACTATAGTGACACATACAGAGACACAGAATTTGTAAAATGTTTTGTTAATAAAATGTGATTAAGAAGTGCAGCGTTGGATTGCACATTATCTTCTTTCTTCACGAAACTAGCCTAACTAGTGGAATGCCTCTAGGGGGCAATGTGTAAGTGATGGCCATATAGAGGAAGAGGAACACATCCACGAACAGGAAACACTGATTACTTGCCCCGAGAGCATAGTACAATGTTTGCAAATAATACACCCTGAGCAGACCTGATAGAGAATGATGACAGACATAGCCAATGGCCACAAAATCCATGCTTGGTTTGCTTCAAGGACACAGGGAGCGACCTGTGCCAATCACAAAACGAGACAATGAGGAAGAGGAAATACCACTCTGGCTTGCTTCCTCTTCAGTGATTTATTATTGCGGGTAGGAGAGAAAGAACATGAGGAAGCATTTCTCTCCTCAAACTCACACCTCATCATAACACAGGAAAGGTCACTGGCCAGACGATAAAAATCGGTTTAATTTTTTGCCTGATTCAGTTTTTTTTAGTTTTTTTATTCTGTATTCCCTCTTGGTTTATCCAGGTTTCCGATATTCCCAGTTATCAGGTTTTCACTCTCAAAATCACACCTTGAAAGAAAAAAAAAAAAGGGAGAAAAAGAGAGATGTTCTAAGTCCACAAAAATGTTTACATAGTGTTTTTTTCTGGATCAAAATGGGATCAGATGGTGGGCAACCAAATATTTTAGAGACCGTCCTCTTGGCCACAGAGACAACATTTTGCTGTTTTAATGCTAATTTCCTGCAATTCTACACATTATGCCATGGGTCAGAGAAATTTAGAGTTAGAAAGCTAATTTCCTTCAATTGTAAAAATGTTGCCATGTGGCGGAAATAATTTTACAGTTTTAAAGCTAGTTTCCTGCAATTGTACACACTTTATCCATGGCTTATGCCATCTGAGAAACTCGAACATTATAACAAAATCAATGGCGGCACCATGCTATGACACTTTTGGAATTTTAGATTCTCCCTGACTGTCTAGTTGTTATTTTGGTGATTGTTAGTTCTCAAAGATTATCTTATTTAAAAAACATATATAGATCAAATATAAATTCTACATTCAGTACTTTATATCTGGTATTAGTCATTTAAGTTTACACTAAAAACGTTTATTTCATATATATATATATATAGAAATAAACGTTTTTAGTGTAAACTTAAATGACTAAAACCAGATATAAAGTACTGAATGTAGAATTATGTTTGATCTATATCTTATTATATATTATATATATATTATATATATATTATATATATATATATAATACACCATACGTTCAAAAGTTTGGGGTCACTTAAAATGTCCTGTTTTCTAAAGAAAAGCAATTGTTTTGTCCATTAAAATAACAAATTGATCAAAATTACAGTGTAGACGTTGTAATTGTGTAAATGCTATTGCAAGCTGAAAACGGCTCATTTTTATGGAATATCTACATAGGCGTACAGTGGCCCATTATCGACAACAATCAGTCCTGTGTTCCAATGGCACGTTGTGTTTGCTAATCCAAGTTTATCATTTTAAAAGGCTAATTGATCATTAGAAAACCCTTTTGCAATTACGTTAGCACAGATGAAAACTGTTGTGCTGATTAAAGAAGCAATAAAACTGACCTTCTTGAGACTAGTTGAGTATCTGGAGCATCAGCAATTGTGAGTTCAATTACAGGCTCAAAATGGCCAGAAACAAAGATCTGAGCAAGAGGACAAATACATGAGTGTCTAGTTTGAGAAACAGGCGCCTCCTCACAGGTCCTCAACTGGCAGCTTCAATAAATAGTACCCGCAAAACACCAGTCTCAACGTCAACAGTGAAGAGGCAACTCCGGAATGCTGACCTAGGCAGAGTTGCAAAGAAAAAGCCATATCTAAGACTGGCCAATAAAAATAAAAGATTAAAGATGAAAGTTATTTGTTTCTGGCCATTTTGAGCCTGTAATCGAACCCACAATTGCTGATGCTCCAAATACTCAACTAGTCTCAAGAAGGCCAGTTTTATTGCTTCTTTAAAATCAGCACAACAGTTTTCAGCTGTGCTAACATAATTGCAAAAGGGTTTTCTAATGATCAATTAGCCTTTTAAAATGATCAACTTGGATTAGCAAACATAACGTGCCATTGGAACACAGGACTGATGGTTGCTGATAATGGGCCTCTGTACGCCTATGTAGATATTCAATTTTTTTTCAAATCAGCCGTTTCCAGCTACAATAGCCATTTACAACATTAACAATGTCTACACTGTATTTCTGATCAATTTGATGTTATTTTAAAAGGACAAAAAAATTGCTTTTCTTTCAAAAACAAGGACATTTAAGTGACCCCAAACTTTTGAACAGTACCAGTCAAAGGTTTGGACACACCTACTCATTACAGTTTTTTTTTTTTTTTTTTTTTTTTTACTATTTTCTACATTGTAGAATAATAGTGAAGACATCAAAACTATGAAATAACATATATGGAATCATGTAGTAACCAAAAAAGTGTTAAACAAATCTAAATACATTTTAGATTCTTCAAAGTAGCCACCTTTTGCCTTGATGACAGCTTTGCACACTCTTGGCATTCTCTCAACCAGCTTCATGAGGCATGTTTTTCCAACAGTCTTCAAGGAGTTCCCACATATGCTGAGTACATGTTGGCTGCTTTTCCTTCACTCTGCAGTCCAACTCATCCAAAACCATATCAAATGGGTTGAGGTCAGGTGATTGTGGAGGCCAGGTCATCTGATGCAGCACTCCATCACTCTCCTTCTTGGTAAAATAGCCCTTACACAGCCTGGAGGTGTGTTTCGGGTCATTGTCCTGTTGAAAAACAAATTATAGTCCCACTAAGCGCAAATCCGATGGGATGCCGTATTGCTGCAGAATGATGTGGTAGCCATGCTGGTCAAGTGTGCCTTGAATTTTAAATAAATCACCAACAGTGTCACCAGCAAAGCACCCCCACACCTCCTCCTCCATGCTTCTCGGTGGGAACCACACATGCAGAGATCATCCGTTCACCTACTCTGCGTCTCACAAAGACACAGCGTTTGGAACCGAAAATGTCAAATTTGGACTCCAGACCAAAGGACACATTTCCACCGGTCTAATGTCCATTGCTCGTGTTTTTTGGCCCGAGCAGGTCTCTTCTTCTTTTTGGTTATTTAGTAGTGGTTTCTTTGCAGAAATTCGACCATGAAGGCCTGATTCCCGCAGTCTCCTCTGAACAGTTGATGTTGAGATGTGTCTGTTAATTGAACTCTGTGAAGCATTTATTTGGACTGCAATTTCTGAAGCTGGTAACTCTAATGAACTTATCCTCTGCAGCAGTGGTAACTCTAGGTCTTCCATTCCTGTGGCGGTCTTCATAAGAGCCAGTTTCATCGTAGCGCTTGATGGTTTTTGCGACTGCACTTGAAGAAACACTCAAAGTTTTTTAAATGTTCTGGATTGACTGACCTGTTTTAAAGTAATGATGGACTGTCGTTTCTCTTTGCTTATTTGAGCGGTTCTTGCCATAATATGGACTTGGTCTTTTACCAAATAGGGCTATCTTCTTTATGCCAACCCTACCTTGTCACAACAACTGATTGGCTCAAACGCATTAAGAAGGAAAGAAATTCCACAAATTAACTTTTAACAAGGCACACCTGTTAATTGAAATGCATTCCAGGTGACTACCTCATGGAGCTGGTTGAGAGAATGCCAAGCGTGTGCAAAGGTGTCATCAAGGCAAAGGGTGGCTAATTGAAGAATCTCAAATATAAAATATATTTTGATTTGTCTAACACTTTTTTGGTTACTACATGATTCCATGTGTTATTTAATAATAATAATAATAATAATAATAATAATAATAATAATGCCATTTAGCAGATGCTTTTATCCAAAGCGACTTACAGTCATGCGTGCATAATTTTTTTTTGTGTCTTCACTACAATGTAGAAAATAGTAAACATAAAGAAAAACCCTGGAATGAGTAGGTGTGTCCAAACTTTTGACTGGTACCGTATATATATTTATTATTTTTATATTGGTTGTGGCGGCAATGATTTAGCAGCGGCGGCCCGCTGCTGCTAAATGAATATAGGGGAAACACTGTTAAACCACATCAGGAGACCACTTCAATTCAAGTGCACACCTGTCAGAGACAATTGTTTGTTTATCGATGTTTCTATAGCGCTCAAGTGATTGCAGAGTTTGCTAAACAAATGGCCACTGGATTGATGCAAATAATCATGATATCATTCTGCCAGGTAGACATAGGCTCCTTTGTAGTTAACATTTCATTGATAATAAAGGTTTGCGAGTCTGAAAGTGTAGACAGAGGTGTGCGCCACACACAGACAGAGGCATAAATCAATCCAGATCAGTATGTTCCCAATTCCCATGGTAGGACACATGTTATGGGATAAAAAGAACACACATCAAGCTATGGCTCTGTCTTACTAGACCCTCTTGACTTACAGCAAATGGTGATATTATAATGTTATTTATTTGGACAGTGTACTGTAGGCTATAGTAGTCGTTCCACTGGGCTCTCATTTGACACTTTTGTTCATCTAATGCAGCTTCTCAATAAAACAGATTTGACTTTCACCTTTACAAAAACAATTGCAGTAAAAGTGCAGTAACTGTAGTCGACTATTTTTGGATGCAGTATTTGCAGCATACTGCTGTTATACTTCACTATAACTGCAGTTATACTGCACTCTGACTGCAATCTTTATTTCGTAAGGACACAAATACCTTCTTAGCCTTTAGCGTTGGGAAAATAGTTGCTTCTTCACGCAAGGAGCCTGTGTTATCTGTGTAAACAATGGCTCGTGTAAACAATGGGACGAAGTAAGGACAATATGTATGTTCTGAACATAATCCATATTGTGCAAACACCGGCTAATGTCTTCCCTCGGTAAATTGCGATGGCTGTCAAATACTAACAAAATACTAACGTGCAAACATGCCAGACTGCAGTGCATCAGTTGGTTGAGTAAATTGTCAATTTTATATCACCCACAGTAGTGCAACCTTAGCTTAGGTCAACACTGTATCGGTCATGTTTATTAATTATGGGGTATGTGCTGCATAGGCTAAAAACAATGACCTTTGCATTACTGTTTACAGCCAGGCGAAAACCACTAATACTTCAGAGGCATACGTTTACATTTCCAAGCCAATTTCTTGACAGCAAATCCCTCTGACAGGCAAACAGCTCTGCTTGCTCAAAGTCTGCATCGTTCCAGCAAAGCTATAGAAAAAGCTGCTGAGCTGTCATGCGTCTTATCGGCCTACAGCCAGGTTTTTGCCTAACGTTAGCCTACATAACACTAACATTTAGCAAATAGCCGAACACATTCTTTTTGCAACGGTGCAGGTAGACAAATTGCACTTGAACTTGAGAGCTTGAGAGCTTGGCATGGTCGTAAACAAGACAACTTACAATGCATTTCCTGCCCAGGTAGTTGAAGAGGCATTCGTTCTCTTGCGGGGTGAGGAATATGGAGCCAATATTTCCAACCCGCCGTTGCTGAGGATGGCTATTCATGTTCGCAAATAATTTCTAGATAAACAAAATTAACTGTTTTACTCTTGAACATTACATAAAATTCGTGCAGCCTTTGATCGCCATGGCCTGCAAACGGATCATCTCATGGCGTTGTTTCTAAGGTAGAGGTCTGCAAAATGAAATATTTCAGGATCCTGGTTGTTGGATAACAACCTCCATGACCCAGTCGCCTGGAATAAACCGTGGGAACCCCAATCTTTGCAGTGGGCAAATTCTAAACTTTCATTCGGAACTCCAGCTGCAACATCGATACATCCATCCAACATGGCAGTGTAAAGGAACAACCATTCTAATGAAGAAGAGAGGGGTCGTGTAGAGATAAAATAAAAAATATAAATTTGAAGAGCAGGGCTTCCCGAACGAAATTAATTTGCATTAAAAAAAGATTTTGCCTGTCGTCTTTAAATGTTCTGGTGTTACAATATAACGAGGATTCCAACATATCCCGAACGATGAAATGGTCTAGCCCTATTTCCCAGTGGATTCTGCAACAGGAATGCAGTATGCTGAGGGGGTGCGCGTGGAGCTGGGCAGAGGGTGTTTGTTATTTATGAGGGAGGAGCTACTGCTGTTGTCAAGAGAGGGTTACAATGTTACATATGTACAATATAGCCTACTTATTTATTACATTTTGGGCACATACACTTGATATTTCTTATAATTGTGCTCTCTCACTACCCCCCCACCCCCCCACCTCACTCTCTCTCTCAAACACACTGAGGTCAGTGAGTTCAATTGTTATCAATGTTTTTTTTTGTTTTTTTTAAACAAGTCCAAAAGCTATATCATAATTCAGGTTTAATGTCCTCTAGCCTTATGCTACCATACTGCCCAGTGCTTCAGTCACCCCAACAACTGAGCCTCAATACCCCCTGGGGTGTAGATTTGCCTCAAAGTGCCCCTCTATGTCTTCCATCTAACATATAAAAAGGGGAGGAAGAGAGATAGACAGATGGACAGACTTTATCTGAGGGGGCTGTTCTACCAGGTGCCACCTGCCCTTCCTTAAACCCTGTCATTGAGGTATTAGCAAAGCGCTAATCTGTTAGGCTAGCAGCCCCTCTTGTGTGTTTGTTTGTGTTGTTAAAAAGGTATAAATCAAATTGTCACGTGCGCCGAATATAACAGGTGTAGACTTTACAGTGAAATGCTTACTTACAGGCCCTTTCCCAAAAATGCAGAGTTAAAAATTAAGACAAATAAGCAAAAAAAAGTCACACAATAAAATAACAGTAACAAGGTTCTATACAAGGAGAACAGGTCCCGAGTCAATGTGCAGGGGTAAGAGGTAGTTGTGGTAAATGAGGTAATATGTACATGTAGGTAGGGGTAAAAGTGACTAGGCAATCAGGATAGATAATAAACAGAGTAGCAGCAGCATATGTGAAGAGTGTGAAAGTGTGTCAATGTGTGAGTGTGTGTGTGTTTTGTGTGTGTGAGTGTAGCAGTGGAGGCTGCTGAGGGGAGAACGGCTCATAATAATGGCTGGAATGGAGTGTAATGGATGGAATGAAGTGAATGGAATGGTATCAAACCCATGAAAACCATATATTTAATACCATTCCAATTACTCCATTCCAGCCATTATTATGAGCCGTTCTCCCCTAAGCAGCCTCCCATGTTCACCCATGACTGCGTGGCCAAGCACGCCTCCAACTCAATCATCAAGTTTGCAGACGACACAACAGCAGTAGGCTTGATTACCGACAATGACGAGACCGCCTACAGGGAGGAGGTGAGGGCTCTGGGAGTATGTTGCCAGGAAAATAACCTCACTCAACGTCAACAAAACAAAGGAGATGATCGTGGACTTCAGGAAACAGCAGAGGGTGCACCCCCCTATCCACATCGGACCGCAGTGGAGAAGGTAAAGCTTCAAATTCCTTGGCGTACACGTCACTGACAAACTGAAATGGTCCACCCACGCAGACAGTGTGGTGAAGAAGGTGCAACAGAGCCTCTTCAACCTCAGGAGGCTGAAGAAATTTGGCTTGGCACCTAAAACTCTCACAAACTTTTACAGATGCACAATTGAGAGCATCATGTCGGGCTGTATCACCGCCTGGTACGGCAACTGCACCGCCCGCAACTGCAGGGCTCTCCAGAGGGTGGTGCGGTCTGCCGAACGCATTACCGGGGGCAAACTACCCGCCCTCCAAGACACCTACAGCACCCGATGTCACAGGAAGGCCAAAAAGATCATCAAGGACATCAACCACCCGAGCCACTGCCTGTTCACCCCGCTATCATCCAGAAGGCGAGGTCAGTACAGGTGCATCAAAGCTGGGACCGAGAGAATGAAAAACAGCTTCTATCTCAAGGCCATCAGACTGTTAAATAGCCATCACTAGCACATTAGAGGCTGCTGCTGCCTATTGAAATCACTGGCCACTTTAATAATGTTTAGATATCTTGCACTACTCATCTCATATGTATATACTGTATTCTATTCTATAATATTCTACTGTATCTTAGTCCATGCCACTCTGTCATTGCTTGTCCATATATGTATACATTCTTAAATTCCATTCCTTACTAGATTTGTGTGTATTGGGTATATGTTGTGAAATTGTTAGATATTACTTGTTAGATATTACTGCACTGTCGGAGCTAGAAGCACAAGCATTTCGCTACACTCGCAATAACATCTGCTAAACACGTGTATGTGACAAATAACATTTGATTTGATTTGAGGTAGTGTGTGTGTGTGACAATTCTTAGGTTCTTCCTCTGACACCGCCTGGTGTAGAGGTCCTGGATGGCATGGAGCTCGATCCCAGTGATGTACTGGGCCATACTCACCCCCCTCTGTAGTGCCTTGCGGTCAGGTGCCTTGCAGTTGCCATACCAAGCAGTGATGCAGCCAGTTAAGATGCTCTCAATGGTGTAGCTGTACAACTCTTTGAGGATCTGAGGGCCCATGCCAAATCTTTCCAGCCTTCTGAGGGGGAAGAGGTGTTGTCGTGCCCTCTTCACGACTGTGTTGGTGTGTTTGGACCATGATAGGTCCTTAGTGATGTGGACACCGAAGAACTTGAACCCTCGACCCGCTCCACTACAGCCCCGTCGATGTGAATGGGGGCGTGCTCGGCCCTCCGTTTCCTGTAGTCCAGCTCCTTTGTTTTGCTGACGTTGAGGGAGAGGTTGTTATCCTGGCACAACATCGCTCATCGTCCTCGGTGATCAGGCCTACCACGTCGTGTCATCTGCAAACTTAATGATGGTGTTGGAGTCGTGCACGGCCATGCAGTCGTGGGTGAACAGGGAGTACAGGAGGAGACTAAGCATAGGATATGACACTAAGCTAACATTAGTGTGGAGACTAAGCTAACATTACTGTGGAGAGACTTGCTGTGTCATAAGTCTGACCACATGGTGGCCACAAGATTATCTCTCTTTCTCACTCACACACACACCGCATGCATGCACACGCATGCACACACACATACACACACACAAGGACACACACCTTTTGACCTCTTCACCACCTTTCGTTATCTCACATACATGTACACACGACTTGACCGCCACTCACACAAGGCTGACAGAAATAGTGGTGGAGGGCACACAATTTTCCACTAGTGATGTTTTGTCTGTGGTTCGACACTCAAATCAAATCTAATTTTATTTGTCACATGCGCCGAATACAACAGGTGCAGACCTTACAGTGAAATGCTTACTTACAAGTCCTTAACCTACAATGCAGTTTAAAGAAAGAATACCAAAAAAAATCACTAAAAATACAATAAAAAATAATACGAAAGTACAAATAATTAAAGAGCAGCTTTAAAAATACCAATAGCGAGGCTATATACAGGGGGTACCGGTACCGAGTCAATGTGCGGGGCACCGGTTAGTCGAGGTAATTGGGGTAATATGTACATGTAGGTAGAGTTATTAAAGTGACTATGCATAGATAATAAACAGTGAGTAGCAGCAGCATAAAAGAGTTGTGGGGGGGCAATGCAAATAGTCTGGGTAGCCATTTGATTAGATGTTCAGGAGTCTTATGGCTTGGGGGTAGAAGCTGTTTATAAGCCTCTTGGACCTAGACTTGGCGCTCTGGTACTGCTTCCCGTGGGGTAGCAGAGAGATGACTAGGGTGGCTGGAGTCTTTGACAATTTTTAGGGCCTTCCTCTGACACCTCCTGGTATAGAGGTCCTGGATGGCAGGAAGCTTGGCCCCAGTGATGTACTGGGACGTACGAACTACCCTCTGTAGTGCCTTTCGGTCGGAGGCTGAGCAGTTGCCATACCAGGCAGTGATGCAACCAGTCTGGATGCTCTCGATGGTGCAGCCGTATAACCTTTTGAGGATCTGAGGACCCATGCCAAATCATTTCAGTCTCCTTAGGGGGAATAGGTTTTGTCGTGCTCTCTTCACGACTGTCTTGGTGTGCTTGGACCATGTTAGTTTGTTGGTGATGTGGACACCAATGAATTTGAAGCTCTCAACCTGCTCCATTACAGCCCTGTCGATGAGAATGGGGGCGTGCTCGGTCGTCTTCTTTTTGCTGTAGTCCACAATCATCTCCTTTGTCTTGATCACGTTGAGGGAGAGGTTGTTGTCCTGGCACCACACGGCCAAGTCTGTGACCTCCTCCCTATAGGCTGTCTCGTCGTTGTCGGTGATCAGTGAACCGGGAGTACAGGAGGGGACTGAGCACACACCCCTGAGGGGCCCCCGTGTTGTGGATAAGCGTGGCAGATGTGTTGTTACGTACCCTTAGCCCCCCGTGGGAAATCGAACCCACAACCCTGGTGTTGCAAGCGACATGCTCTACCAACTGAGCTACACGGGGCCCTACCACCTGGGGGCGGCCCGTCAGGAAGTCCAGGATCCAGTTGCAGAGGGAGGTGTTTAGACCCAGGGTCCTTAGCTTAGTGATGAGCTTTGAGGGCACTATGGTGTTGAACGCTGAGCTGTAGTCAATTAATAGCATTCTCACGTATGTGTTCCTTTTGTCCAGGTGTGAAAGAGCAGTGTGGAGCGCAATAGAGATTGCATCATCTGTGGATCTGTTGGGGCGATATGCAAATTGGAGTGGGTCTAGGGTTTCTGGAATAATGGTGTTGATGTGAGCCATGACCAGCCTTTTAAAGCACTTCATGGCTACAGATGTGAGTGCTATAGGTCGGTAGTCATTTAGGCAGGTTACCTTAGTGTTTTTGGGCACAGGGACTATGGTGGTCTGCTTGAAACATGTTGGTATTACAGACTCAGACAGGGAGAAGTTGAAAATGTCAGTGAATACACTTGCCAGTTGGTCAGCGCATGCTCAGAGTACACGTCCTGGTAATCCATCTGGCCCTACGGCCTTGTGAATGTTGACCTGTTTAAAGGTCTTACTCACTTCGGCTTCGGAGAGCGTGATCACACAGTCATCTGGAACAGCTGATGCTCTCATGCATGTTTCAGTGTTACTTGCCTTAAAGTGAGCATAGAAGTAATTTAGCTTGTCTGGTAGGCTTGTGTCACTGGGCATCTCGCGGCT